GCATGGGCAAAATATTTGAAGATCCTGGGTTACCCAAGCGAAAAAAATGTAACCTGTAGGAATTATGTTATTTAATTTCTTAACAAAGATAACTTGCCTTCAGAACCACTCGTTCTTGTCTGGGAAAGTTGCTTCAGCTCTGCTCGAAGTGCGTCAACACTTGCGGAAAGTTTGCGCATGTCATCTTGATCGCGTTTTAAGGCGTCTTGATCGCGTTTCAAGGCGTCAACAGTTTTGGCCAGTTGGCGCAGGTCGCGTTTCACAGTTGTCGACAATTGAGAAATTTCCTACAAACGTATTTACGCACGTCAGAATACCGAACGTAAGAAGAAAAAAAAATAACAGAATGTGAAGCAGAAAAACAGCTGAACAACAAGATTTGTGGTACTAGAATGTTACCTGGTTGTTGCTGAACGTCAGAGGGGCGAGTCCCACGGCGCACAGGCTAAGCAGCACGGCGATGCCGGCGGCCAGGAAGCTGCGGTGGGCGTAGAGGAAGCTACAGACACTCGGATACGCGCCGTCTGGTAGGAAAAACATACTTCGCTCAGGTTATTGTTACGTAAAATTTACTCATAGTGATGCTCATCAGTTTGAACAAATAAACGTATGAAATACCCATAATTTTGGAAGTTAATCTGTGTTGTTCATTATTATCGTATTGATTTTGCAAATCAGACCCTCATTTGCATTATTGGTGCCTGTTAATGTTCCACCTGCCATACATTACATATTATATATGTATTAAAGTTCCATTATTAAAAGCAAAGAAATTAAATTATTTTCTTATTACTAATGCACATTTAATACGTTTTACCTGGTCTGGTGGGGTGCGTAGCGTCGGGTGTGTTTTCACTGTCGTTTGCACGTGCCTGGTGATCAGTCCGGGGTTGGTCAATGGGTGGGTCAATGGGTGGGTCGTCTGGACGAGAAAAAGCAAAGATGTAATATAGTCATCTGTGAAAAATATTGGTCCTAATATACACAAAAACAAGGTGAGTGATATACCTGAACAGCAAAGTCCAGAAAAGTTTTTAGAAATTTGATAATGGGAACTATTTGCGTAAATTATTGATATGATTTTTGCTAATCGACACTTTTCGGCCCGTCTCCATTTGGAAAGATGACATCAGCATTATAGGCTAGGTAAAGAAATAGTTCCTCGGACATGCATCTTTACTGTGGTTTCTTTTGAGTTCATATGGTTTTTGGTACATTACAAAACTGTGGAGTACTCTTGCAAACTACTTATTAAAGTTCTGCACCGAAAACCAACCAGAGTACGCGAATAGTATCACAGACCAATCACGGTTACTACCTTAAAAAAAACACTCAGCTTTAGTGAGGTTACAATCACAAAGGACTGAAAAAAAACAGGAAGCAAGTAACGAGAGAAACCTCAAACGTTTTACCTTGTATGGAGGCGTGCGTGGCGTCGGATGCGTTTTCATCGTCGTTCGCGCGTGCCTGGTAATCAGTCTGGGGTTGGTCCATCGGTGGGTCGGCTGGGCGAAAAAATGCAATATAGTCATTATTTAATATTTGCGTTATTATATTATATTTAATAATAATAAAAGATACAATATAGTCATTATTTGAACAACATATGGGTTATAAACGATTTAATAGTATCCGAACAAGAAAGTACCAAAAAAATTGAAAAATTAAAAATTTGCGTACATCAATAATATAAATTGTTAATTTTTCTTAAGGAAAACTGCCCGGCCGGGCCCCGGTTTGGAAATGTGACCTAAGCATTTCAAGGTGAAAAAATATTTTTTTTTTACCTGTATGTATACATTGGTCTTGTTGCGTGTTCAAAATAAGTCTTTTGTTACATTACGAAACTGTGGAGTTATCTTGACAAACTATTTTAGAACGTTCTCAACAAAAACCTACCCAAGTTCGCGATTAGTATCACAGGCCAGTCACGATAACTACTTAAAACAAATCATAATTTTTGGTGAGCAAAGCAATAAAATACAGGATACTAGAAAAGAGAGAAACTTTAAACGTTTTACCTGGTATGTTGGCGTACGTGGCGTCGGGTGTGTTTTCATGGTCGTTTGCACGTGCCTGGTAATCAGTCTGGGGTTGGTGCATGCGTGAGTCGGCTGGGTAAAAACAAAAACAAAGCCGGAATATAGCCATTTGTGAAAAATATTGGGGCTTTAACATACAAAACGAACAAGATAAAGAAAATAAACAATTTACCTGAACTAAAGGCGTACATAGGGTTGAACATTTTCGCAGCGGCGTTCGCAAGTGATCGCCAAGACGACAGGAGCTGCTGCGTACGTGTAGCGCCTAAAGAATAAATAAAAAAGACTAAAGTTTGAATGCAGCCATCCGTGGATAATTTGAGGCATTTAATATACAAGGTAGAAGATGCAAAAATGAAACGAAGACCGTAATCAATTTACCTGCATTGGAGGTGTACATAGGGTTTGGTATATTGGGAGCGGCGCCCGGATGTGATTGCAGTGACTGAGGCTGCTGCATGGGTGCGGTGCCTGAGACAAGTAAAGAAAATTCAATTAGTCTTCTCGGAAAATTAACACCAGTAATAGGAAAAAGGAAATGATAAACTCTGTACATGATGTACCTGCATTGGAGGCGTACATAGGGTTGGGTATTCTTGCAGCGGCGTCCGCATCTGATAGCCAATAAGACTCAGGCTGTCGCATAGATGTTGCACCTGAGAGAAATAAAGAAAAATTCAAATAGGAAGATACAGTGTTTATCTTCGCCTAATCGTCAAATAATTACGACTGAGCAAGAATCATTTTAAAATGATTAAAAAATCATTAAGTACGATGGAAAAAATAACTAATGAAATACAAGGAATAGAAATATCCAAATTTTAGACAGCAATTCACTACGGGGCACTTATGGCAAATAAAATGATTGAATTTCTTTCTTTTTTCTCTCAAACGTCAGAAACAAAAAGTTTTCCCAATTTGATATGATACCTAAATTGTACACGCTTACTAGTGTCACCAGCCTGAGACTGTTGCTCTTCTTCCGACATGATGACACTGTAGGGTTCTGGACAGCGAAAAAACACGTCTTTCTCCAGGCAAGCCGGTTGTCGACTAACGCATGGTCCTAGACAAAAATTAATATGAACCCAGATCCCGTAATCTGAGACTAGAGAAGATTGAAGCCGCTCAGTAAGAACAATGACATCAAAACTATGTTTTTCCTTTGAGACCTCAGCCAGTTCGGATACGAAATATTGGGAATGGCAAACAGTGTGCAAATGCATGTTGAATTTTCCACTAAATTCTGGCCAAATCGTAGATTTAACATACGCACATTGAACGAAAATTTCTCTGTATAATTTCTCATGCGATACAATTAAGGAAAGGGAAACGATATGCAAGAAAAGAAAATTTTCAACACTCCTTTTTTACTTACAAAGGTTTACATCAAGGAACAAAAAATGCAAGTACCGAAACAGATGTGAACACGTTGTCGGTTATTGCTAGAAGATTTGTAAAAAAAAGAGTGATTTTTCTTTAGAAATCATCTATTTTCCACCTTATGGCACTATCTTTTTGCCACCAGCTTGTTTACTCAAATGTAGTACAAAAATGTATTAAAAAGATTACCGTTAGTTGCTTGTTTTATACGCCCACAATAATTGTCTTGCTGCTAAGCTGCCAGAAGATCATGTGGATTACTTTATCAGAAGGAGTTCGTTCTTTGTACACCCTGTGAGAAAGATGAAAAGATTTTTTTTTATTTAGATGGGAGTCGTGGATACACTCATTTCTCTCCGTACCATTCAAATCTGATTTCGTCAGTAAAACAGATGGTACTCGTAATTATGTCAGTGTTTAGGGACTTTCATAATCGACCATTGACACTGACATGGTGAACATATCAATTTCACTATATTGATTTTATTCATTATAGAATCCATTCATTCCTCTTGATGCTCTTGCTTACCCAACATGAGATATTCCAGATGTTTACCAATATCTGCTTTTTCTCCGTTTTGACTTATGCCCACGTGATAATAGTCTGGCTGCTAAGCTACCAGAAGATTACATGGATCATATATAGAAAGTCCGTTCTTTGTACAGTTGATACAAAAGATCTTCTACAACTAAGCCAGGCCAAAAGATAAAAGATGCGAAGAAAATTATTTGGATAGGAGGATTAGAGGGCCATAGTGGTGAGATTTCGGCAGATGTCACAACCTTCTTTCAGCGACTAGAAGCCCTCTTTATACATCGGTACCTCATAACAGAAAACACTTTGTAAGGGTGCGTTAACGTT